CTTGAGAACAACATGGGTGTGGCATACGAGCCCAACAGAGGCATTAAAAATCCTAGCGTGAAGCTGAACACGTCTTTCTCCCGGTCTACTCAGGAAGGGCTCGTCTTAAGCCTGTACCTTGGTGAGGGTCTCCAAGAATTCATTCATTTTCCAGGGGTCACTGGACTCCCAATCTGGGCGGAGCTTCAGAGGCCTGAGCTAAGTAACCCGCAAAGACCTCAGGCCCTTTGGCTTTCAAGAGAAGTAAGTGGTCATCGTCCCAACCACTGAATCTCTTTCTCTAGGCCACACAGAGAGTGACAGTGGGTCGAGGTACTTGGGCACTGCATTTAATTCTGTCCGTCCAGAGACTGGCAGGGCGGCGTGCCAGTCCAGGAACTTCACACCCGTGTGTGTGTGTGAAACCTGATAAGGTCTGGGGGTGGGGTGGGGGATCAGCCCAGCTGGCTGTGGCCATCTGGAATCGTGGCCACCAGGATGCCCCCGAGTTATCCTGGTCTATTGCCCCGTCTCACAGCATAGTTTCCCAACAGAGCACACAGAGACAAAAATCATCAGAGCTTTGCATTCCAGGGAGCCCTGCAACATGCCCCGCCACAAGCAGGTGGAGGAGGAGGGGGAGGAGGAGGAGGAGCAGGAGAGGAGGAGGAGGCGAGGGGGACGCAGAGGGGGACGCAGAGGTGGACGCAGGCTGAGACAGAGTGGGGGAGGGGGAGGTAGGGGGAGGGAGTGACTTCTTTTCCCGGGTCTCCCCACCCAGTCTGTTACCAGTGATGCCAGTGCCCTCCAGTCTGCATAGAAAGCCCCACAGGGCAGTGTTTGGGGGGCTTCCGGCTAGTTGAACACAGGGAGGTTTCAGGCGGCCGCTGCTCCCAAAGCAGGCATTCGAGTCCCGCACCCTTCCCTACACAGCTGACCCGGAGCTTCTCTTCCCCGTATCCTTTGTAATATCCTTAGTAATAAACTGGGTAGGTGTCGGTGAAGTGCTGTCCCCCAGGTAGAGTCAGTGTGCCCGCGGTGGGTGGGAACTGGGGCTTCTAGGGTGGTATTCTAGGGTTGCGCAAGGCGCAACCTGTGACACGCAGCTGGCATCTGCAGCCGGGTCTCGGGTCATCCTTGGGCACTTGGCCTCCCAACATGCGGGATCTCCAGGTCGATGGCGTCGCTACTGAACTCGAGGAGAGCCGCTGGTGTCACCGCAGAACTGACAGCTCGGTGTGTCCGTGCCAGGAGAACCTTGCCTGTGTTCGGGTCCCGGAGCTGATGTGTGTTGTGGGACTACAGAAAGAGGAGGCGCGCTTGGGGGAGAGGTTTGTTTCCATGGACCCAGAGCGTCCATCTAATTCCTCCTAGTGGTGGCAGGACTCGGGCTTCTGGACTTGCTCTTGACATATTCCCCTTAGGGTGGACACCCACCCCCACCCCCACCCCAGCCCCAGCCCCAGCCCCAGCCCCAGCCCCAAGATTCGCTCTCTTCCTGCCTGGGACCAAAGCGGGCCTTCTCTCTTCCCTCAGTCTCACGCGGGTTCTTGAGTATCTGCCCCGAACGCTTTGATGTGTGTGGAAGCGGTCCGGTTTCAGGCCAAGTCTGAGTTCAGGTGTCTCCGCTGCAACTGCTAAGGAGTGTGGAGGACCACCTGGAGGACTCTCCTCGAACAAAGAAGAACACTTATCTCCAGGTGGGCTAAAGCAGGCCAGGCCCTGTCTCCACGGGCTGATAAGGACAGAGCCCACCGAGCCATTACCTTTTTGCCTTCCATGGGCTCTAAGCCATGTAAATGGGGCTGGCCGAGGAGGTGCTGACGCGTGATCTTTGAAGCTCGGTGGCGGTCCCTGTTCCCCTGCCCCGTGACCCCCCAATCCAAACGTGGTTGAGCCGGGCGGGAAGCAGAGCCACCGCTCCAGGGCCGTCAACTGGGTTCCAGCCTCGAGGTGAGAGGCTACGGCTTCCCCGGGCATGAAGCTCTACACTACAGGTCAGAGCTGAAGCATCGCCCTCCGAACATGAAATGCTGCCTCAGTTGCCTTACGCAGATGGGTCTTTCTGCACGTTGGAGGGGTGGTTGCAGGTCTCGTGCGTGGCCCAGCTCACAGTACTCACGGCATTCCCGCCATTGTCGCAGTGGTTCATCCTCTAGCCACTGCCTTCTTCACGAATTAATAAAATCCGGGTTAGGCCCTGGGTCGAGGCCTTTGTTCCCGATGACCCTTCACCCTGGCCGGACTTAGGACCCCTCGGCGCGCCCGCACAGCCACCCCTCCCCGCCCCCGCCCCCGCCCCCAAGTATAAATGTGTCTCGGTGTCTTTAATTCTTGCCATGGGTTGCACCGGAAGTTGGTAGATCGGAAATCAACCTGCTAGAATTCCGATAACGTTTCCATGAGGTTACAAACATCAACTCCCCGCACGCTTGACGAAGAGCCCGGGGAAGGGATGTCTGCAAAGAAGGGTGTTTGTGGAAGCAGACATCAGACAGGAATCAGGTGGAGAGCTCTGAAATTCAGTCTCGGCCCTGCCCTACTGGGCCCCCCCACCAAGCCCCGACCCCATTGCTGCAATGTTAGGTGGGGCTGGGGCATCAGGTTAGGCCTCTGAGCCTCAGAGTCATCACCTGGTTGTTTGTTGGTTTGTGTGGTGTGGGTTCGTTGGTTGTTTCCTTTGCTGTTTTCTCAGTATTAGGATCGAACGCAGGGGCTCAGGCGTGCTCTCAAGCACTCTGCCACCGAGCTGCATTCCCAGCCCGTGTGCGCCTGTCCCCGTGGACGGGACGAGCTCTGCTAGCTCCGCCGTGGACACAGCCGAGCTCACTTTCCTTGACTGCGGCGGCAGGCCTTGGTAGACTTGGTTTCATGGGCCCGCCATTGGCTCTGGACTTTGGGGGGCCAGCAAAGAGAGTTCTCAGAGCTAGGTGCTGGAAGGTCTCCTTCGCTGGAAGGAGGTGGGGCTTCGGGAGTTATGAGAGAGTGGGGTGGGGTGGAGTGGGGTGGGGCGGGGCGGGGCGGAGCGCTCGGGGTGGGGGGGGCGGGAGAGAGCTGGTGCAGGGCTGAAACTCCGCCAGACTGAGAGAGGGTGGCGGCAGCATTATCCTTCCCAGGTCTGGTCCTCGAGAATAAACACACACACACACACACACACACACACACACACACACACCCCCGGCGACCTGTTATGGCAGGTGCGCTCGAGGACCCACAAGGGGACAGTTCGGCAATGTGGGTCCCTCCCTTCTCTACAAAGGCCCAGCTGTAGGCCACGAGCCGCTTTCCTGAAAGCATAGAGTTCTCTGCTGGAATAGGCAGCGGCCCCAAAGACCCTGTGACTGAAACACCCACTGCAGAGGAAATAACATTGTCAAGAACCAATAGCGGGAGCCCCACAGGCACGTCCCGCATCCTAGCGCAGGGAAGGCCATGGGCGGGCGGGCGGGCGAGAGGACCGCTGGGGCTTGGAGGCCTGCTTCGGCTAATAGTGAGTGTGAGTCCCCGTCAGGAGGAGGAGGAGGAGGAGGAGGAGGAGGAGGAGGAGGAGGAGGAGGAGGAGGAGGACGACGGCGACGACGACGACGACGACGACGACGACGACGATGGCGGCGACGCCAGGAAGGAACAAGAAACATCAACAGACGGGGTCACAGCATGTGGAAGAGCTTCTGCACAGTAGAAGAGGCGACCAACCGTGAAGAAACTGTCCACGCCATGGGAACACGTTTCCTCCCAATATCCTTCAGGCAGATATCCAGAACAGCGCAGGGGTTCCTTTTAGAGTTCCAGGGCCCAAACTGCAACCTCAAGCCCACTCGTTTCGTTTATCGCCAAGTGGTAACCCTGCCACGTGACTCGAGTGCGGAGGATTCAGTTGAGGAAAACCAACTCAGACGCGAGTGAACATCTTTGGTCTTCAAAGGAAGCCACCACCATATCTCCCTCATACACACACGCACAGGCACACTCGCACGCGCGTGCACGCACACACACACACACACACACACACACACACACACACACACGATCGGTCTGGCCACCAGCGTGGAAGTATGCATATATCAAGAACTCAAAACATGAGGACTCCCCGCAACAGTAGAAAAGACCCGATCGAAACATGGGGATCCTGAAAATAGTAAGATAGGCACGTGAAGGAGGAGGACAAATGCTGGATCCCTGAAAACGTGTTCAGCAGCTCTGGCCGGCAGAGCAAGAGCAATGAAAAGAGTACCGAGTCCACCTCCCTCCAGAAGGGAGGGCTCCCATCCGGCAATCAAAGCACAGCCAGCCAAGGGCGGAGGGTGAGTCTGCAGGGAGAAGTCTGCGGTTCTTCGTGGGTGGGCGGGAAGAAGCTCGAGTGGTAGGGGCACTACGTAGGGAAATCAGTGTGGGGAGGCCTGGAAAGACCAGGGGCAGAAATTCCGCTCCACCCCAGCTATCTGCTTTCTAGGCTCCTTGCCGAAGGAGCCAAGGACATCTCACGTCACAGGGCCTCCTTTCTCGGGAGGAGCACCTGCCCTTGGCGCTCGGGCGCGCCCCGGGTCTCTCCCTCTGATACAACCTGTCTGTCCCCTCTCTTTCCCCCAAAGAGACAGCACCAGCACGGTACAGTGATACACGTGTACCCGTGTTCACGGCAGCACGATTGGCAAGAGCCGAGTCACGGAAAGAGGCCGCGTGTGCACTGGCCGACGACTGACTGGGTGAG